TGCCTAAAAACGAAACAGTTCAACATTCTATTTCAAGTCTGCCTAAAAACGAAACAGTTCAACATTCTATTTCAAGTCTGCCTAAAAACGAAACAGTTCAACATTCTATTTCAAGTCTGCCTAAAAACGAAACAGTTCAACATTCTATTTCAAGTCTGCCTAAAAACGAAACAGTTCAACATTCTATTTCAAGTCTGCCTAAAAACGAAACAGTTCAACATTCTATTTCAAGTCTGCCTAAAAACGAAACAGTTCAACATTCTATTTCAAGTTTGCCTAAAAGCGAAACAGTTCAACATTCTATTTCAACATTTAATAAACCTATAACAACTACTACTGTTCCACAATCTGAAAACCAAATTGCTTCTTCAAAGGATGATGTTAGATTATCAACTATATTGAATAATGTTTCTTCACCATTATCTACTTCGAGTAATTCAAGTGTAAGCGAATCATTACAGGATTCAAATTTCACCAGTCAAGAAGATTCTGGTGTACAAAAAGGTCGGAGAATTGCCAGACTAAGAAAAAAATTTGAAAAAAAACGTGGTTAGTTAATTTATAATTCATTTATATATAATATATATATATATTGTGATATATTATTAACATTAATATTAATATTAACATTAATGTTAAAATTCTTCAATATATTGTATAATAAAACTATAAACAGTGGTAAATATTGTCCCAAAAGTAGGTATCAAAGATTTACACTACGACACTCAACAACATATTGACAATAAAAGTCATGTTTTATTTCAAATCGGCCCTATATTCGCAAAAGTTGAATGTATGTATCATCCATCCTCAATTTTACAAAAAGATCCTCGAATAAATGGATCATTCCTTACTTTCTCTCGCACTGATCATGCTCAAAATCCTAACGTAAATAATTGGTTTGAAGATGGTCAAAGAATTATATTACAATCGAGTCAGATAGATCAACCTGAAAAAATGTTATCATTATATGAAATGTTAAATGACCAATTTTTGGTGGATTTATTTCGTGATGAAAATGGAATTATTCGATTTGTTCTTGTATATTTATTTACTAAAAAATATTTGTTTACAAAATTGATACGATTTTGTGATTCTATAATTCAAGAAAATATTGATTTGGCTTCTTATAGATTAGAAAAGATTGCAAATTATAGGAAAAAAGATCTATTGGTTATTGTTAGTGAGAATAGAAAAAATGATTTTGAAGAACTTGGATATGAGGCTTGTTCTGAAAATTGGGCTTCTGATGTTAAACTTTGTGGAAATGATGTTTTGTTGTGTAAAAGAGTTGGATTTACCAGTTATGGAAGTAGCGATGATGACTAAAAACTTTAAAGTTCTTATCGTTACTGTATATTCTTTATAGATTCTTTAAAATTTTAAATTATATTATCGTTATCAATATAACTTATCTCACATGATTTTATGCTTCATCTGATACGATCTACGATAAATTTTTATTTCTTTTAAAATGATAAAAGTAATAAATTTTATTGCTAACTTTAAACTTTTGTTAATAAAAGTTCAAAGATATGATTCTATACATTATAGATTCTATTCTTCTGTTAAAGGTATCGGTATCAATTC